CTTTGGTAATTCACGTGCACAAAGGAGACTGTCAACACTGATGTTTAAGTAACTCACAATATATATATTCAGGTAAGGGAGATTTCTAAAGAGTTAGTTCTGATGTTTGAGAAACACCTGTATGTTCAATTATTATTGTCCTCACTGTGACCAAAGATAAGCTTTACCTGAATCTGACAAAACTCATTTTTATACTGCAAATGGGCTCTTGAATCAAGTTGTCTTTTTTTTAGGAGTGTAATTTAATGCTGCTGAGTTGGACTTGTGTGCTTTGGGTTTGGTTGTCTTGGTCTTTTGTGTTGTACCTTTGCTCTCGCAATACTTGATTTCCCTGCCAGACCAGTAAATGGTGAACTATTTTGAGACTGGCAATTTCTGAGTAACAGAGTGTGTTGCTTCTCTGCTGCCAGCAGATGGATTCCGGCTATGGTTCCATGCTCAGATTGCAGATCAAAGTATTTTGCATCACTTTTGCTAGGTTATTTTAGTAAAATGTGGCAATTTCCTAGATGCACATATATATATATATTATATATACATATGAAGTATTGTTTGGGGCTTCAATAGAAGTCAAAAATTGAGCCAGCACTTTAAGGTTGTTGTAGCACAAAGAGTGGTGTATACTATTCTCTAAGTCTTGAAATGGCTGTACAAATATGCTGAAAGCAGAATATGTGTATGGAAAATAAAGTTAACTATGGTGTTTATAGAGTTTTGTTTTAGTGTAAGTAGACACACATGCCATTTCTGAGAGCTTTCCCAACCGGATTGTCTGTGTGCCTGGATCTGGATGTTGGTGGGGAAACAGAAACTTTTGCTTCTAAGCTGTTCACGCATTTATGTCCCAATTAGTTGGTCTGTCTTTGATTGGATCAAAGTATGGGTCCACTGTCTGCTAAAGGACCAGCTGCTTCATGAATCCTTCCAACAGGCAGGTAAGGGAATAGATATAAATAAAATTTTGTCCTGTTGCTAGCTGGAGAGCTGTTAATTTCATGGCCTGGAGTATGAAGGGTTTGGTTTCCTTTCAGGATCCTACGGAAACACACATGTTTTAGAAGAGCTAAAGCGATTGGCAGGCGGGGAACCATTTGTGGGTTTAACATTTCTGATGTCAAAGGAAGAGCTGCTACCACGGCAGCATCTTCCTTGGCAGAAGCAGGTTTCGGTTGATCAGAAGATGCCCTTTCAGGTAAGTTGTGCAGACAGAATGGTTGTGTTGCCCTAGCTCTGTCAGTGTTGTGTGAATAACCACATCTGAGCAAAATTAGTTCCTAAACTACCTCTGGTTCAGGTTCTTAACAGTTCTTAATTAATAGGTTTTGCCCGATGGTTGGTTGTGATACTTAGCGTACTGTGAGTCTTACTGTACTGGGCTTCTGAACTCTTTGGCCCTAGAAAGTAAATAAAGTGCTCAAAATTCAAGGATCACATTACATACTGCTTTGAAATTCTGTCCCTAACTGGCCAGCACAGGGAGCTAAAGTCACAAACTGCATCTCTTTTACCATTCTTAAAACACTGGTGCCATAGGGTTAATTTTGCTGTAGTCGCTTTATTTTTAATACAAAAAAATTACTTCTTAGAGACTTATATAGATCAGGAAATGATGGTAGATTAAGTACTTGGACTAGGATGTAGGACAAACATACCATAATGCTCTTGTTCAGTCAGTAATTTTAGTAAGTGTGCTTTCCAACTAGTACATGATCCTGAGGTGTCCTGTCCTGCTGTGTTCTCGTAGCTCGTAACCCGCAGAGCGCGGTTCATCTCTCGAACGCGAAGGCCGTGTGCTCACGGGCCCCCGAGGGGCAGGCTGCCCGTGCCCGTGCCGCAGAGGCTGCTCAGGTTAGCAGTGCTCTGCTCTGACCAGGGCGAGCGTGCTTCACGGGTCTTTGAGGACGATAAATGGATGACTTCACCAATACCAGCGTTGACCCCTTAACCATGAAACTACTCAGCATTTCTCTGTGGTTCTGCAGCGTTACAGCTGTGACCTCTCTGGAAAAGGGAAGAACAGGCTTGAAATATTTGGTGGGTCTAACACATTTCAGTGGCACTTCTGTGCCTGAACAGGGGAAGGAGGCACCGTCAGCCTGTGAACCGCGACAAGGAGAGAAAGAGCTCCTTTCACTTGTCCCTGCCTAATAGACTTGAGGATTCCTGGGGCAGAGAGAAGTACTGGAGTGAGGAGGAGGAGGGAGAAACACATTAATCTTCCCACTTCAGAAAGGAACAGTTGGAAAGGCTCAAGGGCAAATGGTTTGCTATGTGGCCTTTGCTCCAACACCTTGGGTGTGCTGAATGAGCGGTGTAAAATGCTGCAGTCAAGGTGCTCCTGGCGCTGAAGATCCTAGGAGGCATTTTGAGATCTGCCATTTTCACTTTGACTCTGTGATTGTGGGCATAATCCAGAATTTTTGCTGTTTATTACTTTAACAAGAATAGTGCTAATAAACTACCCTCTTGTTAGCTTTGGCCTGAGAAATGCACATAAAACTATGGTAAAGATTAAAATTTAAAGCCAGGAAAAATGCATTCCACAGGGATCACTCATAAAAGACCTTATGAAAATAGCGTTCAGATACCAGAGGGGTTTTTTAATCAAAATTGAAATGCTTTTGCAGGTTCTCTGCCCAGAAGATAACTTTTAATTTTTACTAATAATGATTTACATCAGATGATGAAAAATGTGGTTCCATGCTCCATTGCATCACATTTGTTTCCTAACTATGAACAAAAATAAATTAACAAAAATCTCCATGTGCCTGTTTTTCCTAGCAGAAAAAATGCTGGCTTTATGCTTTAAAAAGGAAAAAGCCTCTGATTGACTTAACCTAAGTGCCCAGTGTTTGGGGTGGCTACTTTCCAATGCTGAGCGTGAAGATGATTCGGCCCAGGAAGCGGTCGCTGTTAACGTCATTGATAATACCTTTCCCATTCAGACTGCACTGAATAGGGACCAAATCATTCTTCTTCACATCTGTGAAGTGCATAGCCACCAGTGGGGATGTATAGTTGACCTGAAAAGAAGGAAGATTTAAGTGTAATTTTTGAGGGAGCAGAGAAGCGGGCAGTGCTTTCCTGTTCAGTAAAAATCATTAGTAATGGGTTCACTGTTCCCAGGCGTCTGAGTGCATTTGCCTGATCTCCGTTGTGGTCTCTCGGGATGCTGAAGCTGAGCCTTCCTGTGCCTCAGAGGGACAGGATCACGTCAGCGTTCTGCACTGCACTGTGCCTCTTGGGTTGATTAGCCAGGACAAGTAACACCGGATAATGGGACTCTCGCATACTTTCTGCTATTCTAAAAACCAGCCTATGGCTTGTAATAAGAAATCGGTGATATTCCTCAGATCTGTGTGCTCAAAGGACGTGCAGACCTGGCGTCTGGGGCTGCTACTCTTGCTCGGCCAGCAGCAGTGTGATAATAGGAGTCGTGCCTGCCTCGCCTTCCATTTCAGCTTTTGTTGTGAAAGTGCGTTACCTCCTAACGCTGTACCGCCCGGCTGTCCTGGTTTCGGCTGGCATGGTGCTGTGCTTTGGATTTAGTATGAGAAGAATGTTGATAACACACTGATGTTTTAGTTGTTGCTAAGTACTGCTTATGCTAGTCAAGGACTTTGCAGCTTCCCATGCTCTGCCAGGTGCACAAGAGGCCGGGAGGGGGCACAGCCAGAATAGTTGATCCAAATTGGCCCAAGGGCTATTCCAGACCATATGGCGTCATTCTCAGTATAGAAACTGGGGGGGGTTGGCCGGGGAGCAGCGATCGCTGCTCGGGAACTGTCTGGGTGTCGGTCAGTGGGTGGTGAGCAGTTGCATTGTGCATCACTTGCTTTGTATATTATTATTACTATTATTATGTTATTATTACTACTACTATTTTACTTTATTTCAATTATTAAATTGTTCTTATCTCAACCCAGGAGTTTTTACTCACTCTTACTCCTCTGATTCTCTCCCCCATCCCATCGGGGCAGGGGGAGTGAGCGAGCGGCTGCGTGGTGCTTAGTTGCTGGCTGGGGTTAAACCATGACACCGGTGCAAGACCAAAGCAGTGCTGGCCAACATGTTCAGAAATAGCCACTGATGTTGGACTGCTCTGTTTTGAGCCACCCAGCCTGAAGTGGGTTTTGTCATAGCTTTGACAGAAGCCCCATCCTTTTCCTCTTGTGCCACCAAACCCCTGACTTCCCTAATGCCCTGGGAAAATGCTGGTGTTGAGACCTTCTCTGGGCATTAGCAAAGCCAGTCTGAGTCTCCAGATGATAAATGTAATCATTCCTATTGCTGGCAAGGGGGAACCGGAGTCCCCAGGGATTTCCTGCAGTTTGTCAGAGACGGAAATAGAGCGCTGTAATCCCAGTGCCCATGGCCTCCCTCCTGCCTGCATCTGCCCAAAATAGCCAGAAAGCACATCTGTACTCTGTGTGGCAGCTCCTGCCCTCTCCTTCCCAAGGAGACATAACAAAGATGCTGGAGTCCTTACTTACGTGAGTGATCTTGCCGTAGTAGGGATAATACATGAGATCAAATGTCCCGTTTCCAGGGTAGAAGTCCACCGATCTGAGATTGCTCTCATTGCCTTTCTGTGATTGGAAAAAAAAATAAAGGTACACACATAGCACGTGGGATGCAAAATACAGCTCCCTTCAGAGTAAGGTGAAGGAGCTTTAATACAGACACCTCTTGCAAATCCACGTCAGGGCTCGGCTGTGCCCCCTGCCGCCAGCCAGAGCATAACGGTGCTATGAAGGCACAGGCGAGGGTTACAGAATTTGCTGCTATCGATCCCTCCCTGCGCTTGCCTGCTGCTTTATTGCTCTCTAAGGATACGATCCAGCTGCTGCCCGGGCAGTGGGAGCCCTTCCTTCACCCTGTTGCTGTTGGCTCGCAGGGTGCTCCCCTGCCGCCAGCCAGAGCATAACGGTGCTATGAAGGCACAGGCGAGGGTTACAGAATTTGCTGCTATCGATCCCTCCCTGCGCTTGCCTGCTGCTTTATTGCTCTCTAAGGATACGATCCAGCTGCTGCCCGGGCAGTGGGAGCCCTTCCTTCACCCTGTTGCTGTTGGCTCGCAGGGTGCTCCCCAGGACTGAGGGTCCTGCGGAGTGGGTGGGGATGGATGTGAGCAGCTCCTGCCTCTTCCCTGCCAGCTCCAGGCTCCGGCTGGCACCCCAGCACCCAGCCCTGCGGGCCTGCCCTCAGGGGCTGAGCAGGGCACTGCTGGTGAGGCTGGCAGGGGCCGGCAGGGCTCGGAGGGGGAGGGCCAC